GGGGAAGGGGGAAAGTGTGTGGGGACACAGTATAGACGCAGTCATTATGGGCCTAACTGCGTTCCAGTCAGTGGTAGGTTGAATCCATGAACCCAGCACACACTGATAGAGCGGCCAACTGTCTTCTTCCTGGAGGTCCCTTGATAATTGACTTGGCACATTTTTTTTAAAGTTTATTATTTTTTTGAATCTTAATGAAGAATGGGATGGGAGAGGGAGTAGAAGATGGGATGGTTTACGGGTGGGAGGGTGGTTATGGGGGGAAGAACTGCTATAATTCAAAAGTTGTACTTTTGAAATTTATATTTCTTAAATAAAAGTTTTCTATAAAAAATAAAGTTTATTATTTTTTATTATTTGAGAGGCAGAGAGATAGAGAGAGCCCTCATCTGCTGGTTCACTCCCCAAATGGCAGCAACAGCAGGGTTAGGCCAGGCCAGAGCTGGGAGCCAGAGACTCCATCCAGGTCTCCCACGTGAGTGTCAGCCACCCAACTACTTGAGTTACAACCTGTTACCCTACAAGGTTTGCATTAGCAGGAAGCTGGAGTCAGGAGCCAGAGCCTAATACCGAGCTTGGGGACTTTGGTGTGGAATGCTGGTGTCTTAACCACTTGGCCAAATTTCTTCAGTGCCCTTTTTCAGGGCTAAAGTTCTCTTTAGTCCTATGGCTAATCTCCCTTTTAGCTTCTTCTCTTACTAAAGTAGCTGGGGATGAAAGCTGTGTCAGAGACAGGGGAGCCCTGAAACTCAGAAAATGAGTTCTCCCGGGGTATAGTTGAGCCCCTTAGAAAGCACAGCCTGCCCAGCCATGGATTCCGCATGCTTCGTGGCCCTGCCACCCTAAGCTGTCATGTGCGCCCTGCGACCCAGTGTCTCCTATGGCAGAACAGAACACGGTGCAGCCAGTGGCTCACGTGATATCCCTCAAGCTGGTCAAACCAGTAACTTGGCAGGGCCCAGCATTGTGGTGCACCCAGCCAAGCTGCTGCTTGTAACACTGGCATCCCATATCAGAGTCCCAGCTGCTCTGCTTCTGACCCAGCTGCCTGCTAAGGCGCCTGGCACAAGGCAGCGACTGATGGCTCAAGTGATTGGTCCCCTGCCACCCCTGTGGGAGACCAGGATGCAGTTCCTGGCTCCTGGCTTTGACCTGGCCCCGATGTGGCTGTTGTGACCATTTGGGGAGTGAACCAGCGCATGGAAGATCTCTGTGTCTCCCCCTCTGTCGTCTGCCTTTCAAATAAATAAATAAAATCTTTTCTTTTTGTAAAGGCACCTGACTCTCCCTTCCCCTCTGGTTTCTTGACCCCCCACTCTCACAGTGAGTTTTGAGGTGTGAAAGAGTGATCTGCATTATAGCTTCTTCCATTCCCCCAGGGGCAGCTGCCTCTCCTTCCTCACTGTAGCCGCACTTTGTGGTGTTGGCCGCCAGGCGGCCGGATGTCAGGTTTGGGATCCCCACTCCTGTCCCATGGCCAAGGTGAGGCCTGAAGGACTTCTTTCCCTGCTGCTTCCAGGGCTCCCGTGTCCTGACCACCTCTGCACCCATGGACCAGATAGGTGACCAGACTTGCACAGCTCGCAAGCACAGCTGTCTTGTCAGTGGCAGGGGCCTTATCCCTGGTCGTAGCTGGGTCCCCTGGGGTCCTCAAAATGTAGAACTGTTCCTCCGAGACCCCCATGCGGAGCCCCCATACAGAGTGCACCTCTGCTTAGTCCTTTGGATGGGATGGGGGTGGGGCAGGAGCTTCCCTCCGTAGGGGGATGGGATGAGCTGAGGGAAAATCTTTGATTGGCGCCAAGCCCAGAACAGAAGGCTCCCTGAGGAGCACCGCTAGGCATTGTCTCCAAAACCAAGACAAGAGGAAGAGGGTTCAGGGCTAACCCCAGTGGAGACCAGCCTGAGGACCCCGGCCTTGGGGGCTGCAGCCTAGCTTTCAGGTCATACATGCTGGGATCCAGCAGCCTGAGCCTTCCAGCCTCCAGGGGTGGGAAGGGATCACTTCCTGCCATAGGGGAGTGAGGTCAGATCCTGCCTTCTGCAGTGGCGAGACCCTCTCAGTGTGCACGTGGGGCTGAGCCACACCCAGGTTTTTAGCCCGGGCTGCTCCCAGCTGGGCGCAAGCACTCCCCCGCTCTGAGAGTGGTGCTCATGGGAACTCGGAGAACCCAGAGTCTGAATGAGGGCATCTGGGCTGGGTCCAGCGTGGGAAAGACCCCTCCTTCTTCCCCATGGATTAGGCCAGGAGACCTCATCATGTCTCTCACTGATAAGAAATCCTGGCCCCTGTGTGTCATTGAACCCAAAGCTCTCAGACTCTCCTCCTCCTCTTCCTCTTCCTCTTTCATTTATTTTTGAGAGAGAGAGAGTGCTCCCACCCACTGGTTTACTCCCCAGATGCACACAACAACTAGAACTGGACCAGGTTCCCAGTCCGGTCTTCATGTGGGCAGCAGGGACCCAACTCCTTAAGCCATCACCAACTGCCTCCTGGGGTCTGCATTAGCAGGAAGCTGGAATCAGGAACAGAGCTGGGACTCTAACCAGACACTTTGATATCTTTTTTTTTTTAATATTGATTTATTTGAAAGGCAGTTGGGGGTGGGGTGGCAGGGAGAGAGAGAGAGAGCTCTATCTTCCATCCATCCACTGGTTTACTCCCCAAATGGCCCCAATGACCAGGGCTTGACCATGCTGAAGCCTGGACCCTGGAACTCCCATCTGAGTCTCCCACATGGGTGGCAGGGGCCCAAGCACTTGGGTCATCTTTGGCTGCTTTCCCAGGCATTAGCAGGGAGCTGGATCAGTAATGGAGCCGCCGGGACTCCAGCCCTTGCCCATGCGTGGTGCCGGTGTTGTAGGAGGTGGCATAAACTGCCATACCATAACGCCGGCCGGGGATGCAGGCATCTTAACTGCTCGGCCAAATAGCTGCCCCTCAGGTGCATTTTCACCGTAAAATTCCCACCCCTTCAAGCCTGACATTGTGCACTGTTCTCTTCGGCCTACAGCTGCCAGGCACTTGGCCTTGTGTGGTTCTAAGTGATGCTGGACATTGCCTTCTGTAACACAGGGACCAAGAGGTCTGGGAAGGGGCTGAGTGTGCAGAGAGCCATGGGGCCATGCTCTTGACTTTCACGCTGCTCGGGTTATGTTGTTCTCCTAAGGCCCATTGGCACCACCTCCGTTGAAGGCAGTCTCCTTCATTAGTTAGCTGCAGGCCAAGAGGAAGACAGGGCCCCATCCTGCCACTCCAGGTGGGAAAACACTCAGCCAGCAATTGTAGGCCATTCTATGGAAACGCCCCTGTGATGGGGACAAATCAGCCTGCACCACTGGAGGTGCAGGCAAGGCTGTGGCCACCCAGGCTGGCCAGAGTTTGGGGGCAGGGGGCTCTACTTCCTCTCTCCACCCAGCACATCCTACCCACTGCCACTCGGTGAGGAACAGGAGAGGAGGAAAGAGGGCCTGTGCACACCACGGATGTTGCCAGCTCCTGGGGCAGAGAATCAAGGTCCCTGGAGAGCTGGGCTCTGCATAAGAGCCCCTCTGTTTGCAGGTGGAGGGGGGTCAGCAAATCTTGGAAACCAGGCACTGGCCCGGAGCCCGCCCACTCATTCGTGCAGCCGGTCACTTCGCTGGAGGCCTGTGAGTCACTCCCCCGGCAAGCCCTGGTACGGGCGACAATGGGAGCTGGCGCTGGGGTGGGGCTTGGCAGGAGGCCGCCTCCTTGGCCTGTTCAGCGGTGCAGGCTGGGATTCAGCCTTGTGAGAGGGGCAGTGAGGGGAGGCCCTGATGTGTCGTTTGCTAAGCAGTGCGGTCTCCAAGGCCAGGTGTCTGTGCCAGTGGTTCCGTAGTGGAGTACCCACATTGCTACCTGGCCCTGTTCTCAACTCCAGCTGCCTGCTAACGCAGATGGGAGGCGGTGGTGACAGCTCAAGTGATTGGGCTCCCGCCACTTCCAGGGAGGCCTGAATCCTGGTTGCAGCCCAAGCCAGGGGCCGCTGCAGGCCTTTGAGGAATGATGGAAACTCGCTTACCTTCTCTGTCTCTGCCTCTTAAATAAATAACTAGTTTTTAAAAAAAAACAATGAGAGCACTACCAGCACCCTAGATATGCCCCTTGCCACCACCTCCTCTTCCCTGAGTGCTTGTCCCTCCGTCTACCCAGAAGTCACCACTGAGTTTGTGGTCATGATTTTCTCTGGTTTCCGTTATCATTTGCATGCACATATTTGCATACGTATGTGTATGTGCAGCCCTGCACAGAACACTGATTTTGGACTGTGTTCTCCTGGCTCTTGCTTCTTTGTGTAACTTTGAGAGATGCTCTCATAATGTTGCATGTGGCTGTAGTTACTCATTGTCACTGCTGTATTTTTTTTTTTTATCTAAAGCTTTTCCTTGTTTTCATTTATTTATTTACTTGAAAGGTAGAGTTACAGAGAGGAAGGGATATATAGAGAAAAGTCTTCCATCCACTGGTTCCCTCTCCAAATGGCAATAACAGCCGGGACTGGGCCAGACCGAAGCCAGGAGTGAAGAGCTTCTTCTGGTCTCCCACATGGGTGCAAAGGCCCAAGCACATGGGCTGTTTTCCACTGCTTTCCCAGGTGCATTAGCAGGGAGCTGGATGGGAAGTGGAACAGCCAGGGATCGAACCAGTACCCATGTGGGATGCTGTCATTGCAGACAGCGGCTCAACCAACCCGCTACTCCACAGCTCGACACCTGTGTAGTATTCTATTACCCGTCAGATAGTCACTCTGTTGCTGTATTGCTAATAGGTGCTTGTTTCTTGCCAGCGCACAGACACTTAGAGAAACTGGGTTGATCACACACATACATACACTCCACACCGACTCCTGCTGCTGCCAGGTCCTTGTGAGGAACAGAGACTGAGAAATCCCCAAATCCTTGGCAAGCCTGAAGCCTCCCCTCCTGCATCCAGGTAGCTGGTGCTCAGAACTAACGCCTGTGTCCCGTGTATCTTGCAGCTTGCCGGCATTGCCGTCCTCGCCATTGGGCTATGGCTCCGATTCGACTCTCAGACCAAGAGCATCTTCGAGCAAGATAAGAATAACAACTCTAGCTTCTACACAGGTGAGACAGAGGGCGGGGGCACTTGGTGCTTCCTCGACTTTGGAGTCTCCGTGCCGACCCTGGCACGTGGGCTTGGGAAAGACTTCTGCTCTGGCCGCATTTGCCAGTCGTGTCTCTTTCAAGCTGTGTAGGTTTTTTGTTTAGCCGTGCCCCGTGCATTTGCATTTGACTGATGTGGTTTCTTTTCATGCCGGCTGCTCTGGCATTCTGGGTGGCGTCTGATGTGGAGCTGGCTCGCTCTGCTTGTCCCTGATGCTGTCGCTCGCTCCTAATTACACGTCTTCTCGGGCGTCATCATTTCCGTCCTTCAGAAACCTTTGTCCCTGGGATCTGCAGTGCCAGCAGGAGGGCGAGGGCTCTTAAGCCTCCTGGAAAGCCTGGCTGGGAGTAGTAGAGGGCTGGTGTCGTGGCTCCACAGGTGAAACACCGCCGCCATGCCGACATCCTGTATCGCAGCACCAGTTTGAGTCCCAGCTGCTCCACTTCCAATGTAGGAGACCTGGGTGGAGTTCAAGGTTTTGCTTAGCTCAGACCTGGCTGTTGCAGCCATTTGGGGAGTGAACCAGCAGATGGGAGCTCTCTGTGTCACTCTGCCTTTCAAATAAATAAAATAAATCTTTTTTAAAAAGTAGGAGAAGAAGAAGTAATAGGAGAGACTCCAGGGGCTCTCTGGAGGGTAAATGCATGATGCTTGGTTCTACTTGTTTTCTTTCTTTTTTTTTTTTTTTTAAAGATTTATTTATTTATTTGAAAGTCAGAGTTAGAGAGAGAGGTCTCCACCTGCTGATTCACTTCCCAATGGGCCTCAGCTGCCAGAGATGTGCTTATCTGAAGCCAGGAGCCTGGAGCTTTTTCCAGGTTTCCCACACAGGTACAGGGACCCAGGGACTTGGGTCATCTTCCACTGCCCTCCCAGGCCATAGCAGAGAGCTGGATCAGAAGTGGAGTAGCCGGAACTCAAACCGGCGTCCATATGGGATGCCGGCACTGCAGGTGACAGCTTTACCTGCTACACCACAGTGCCGACCCCTCTGTTTGTTTTCAAAACTACTTTTGCTTTAGAGGAAAGGGTGCCATCTTAAACATGTGAAAGTTTCTCTAAAAGGAATGGGAGGGGCCGGCACTGTGGCGTTGCAGTTAAAACCACTGCCTGCAGTGCCAGCATCCCATATGGGCACCAGTTCGAGTCCAGGCTGCTCCTCTTCCGATTTATTTATTTGAAAGAGTTATACAGAGAGAGGAGAAGCAGAGAGAGAGGTCTTCCATCCAATTGTTCATTCCCCAGTTGGCTGCAACGGCTGGAGCTGCGCCGATCTGAAGCCAGGAGCTTCTTCTGGGTCTCCCAGGTGGATGCAGGGGCCCAAGGACTTGGGCCATCTTCTTATTGCTTTTCCAGGCCATAGCAGAGAGCTGGATCAGAAGAGGAGCAGCCGGGACTCAAACCGGCGCCCATATGGGATGCCGGCGCTCCAGGCCAGGCCATTAACCCGCTGTGCCACAGCGCTGGCCCCATAAATAAATCTTAAAAAAAGAAAAAAAAAAAGGAAATGGGAGCTGAAGGCCCACAAATGTAACTTCCCAGCAGAGACCGACCCTGTGGCTCCATAGCACGCGTGGATTAGGGGCAGGAAACATTTCATTTGCGAGAAGCAAGAGGAACCCCCTATTTTTAGGCTGGCACTGTCATGCCATCAGGCTCAAAGTGTACGTCTGGTCACTTCCTTCCGCCTACCCAAGTTCTTTTTATAAAAGACGGAAAAAGTGGTCTGACCAGGGTTATCTCCCAGGGCTGGTGCTGCTGCCGCTGGCAGCCACGCCCCCTCCCCTTCCTGGCTGCACCAGGTCAGCAGGGACAAATCAGCCCATGAGGCTGCACCGCACCTGAGCCCCATGCAGAGTTTTCCTGCTTTTTGTTGTTGTCAGCGAGGCCATGTCTTCCCTATTGTCAGAGAGAAAGTCAGGGAGAGAAGAGCATAATGTGTTAAAAAAAAAAAAAAAAAAGAAGAAGAAGAAAAGAAAAGAAAAGAAAGAAACAAGAAAACAACCCCTTGAGCTTTTAAGGTGCAGGTTTCCATAGCGCCCTGGTTTGTTTTAGCAACAGAGCATTCTTGTGCGCCTGCAGTAGGCCTGGAATGCCACCCTGTAGCAGCAGCCAGGGCACTGTACACAGAGGGAGACCCTCCGAGCTCCGCACCTCGAGACGCGAGGGAGCCAGGGGCTCTCCGAGACGGAGTGGTCCTGCCCGTGGGAATGGGCGATTTCAGGCCCAGTGTTCTCTCTCTCTCTTTAAATTTTATTTTATTTTTTCCTGAATCACAGAGAAACGGAGTTCTTCCATCCATTGGTTCATTCTCCAAATGCTTGAAATAGCCAGGGCTGGGCCAGGCTGTGCCACCATGTAGGTGGCAGGGGCCCAAAGTCCTTTAACTGTCACCTGCTGCCTCCCAGGGTGTGCATCAGCAGGAAGCCAGAGTCAAAGCAGAGCTAGGACTCAGGCCCAGGCACTCAGATAGGTATGTAGGTGGCCCACGCCGTGTCTTCACCACTGCTGTGAATGCTCACCCGAGTTTTCTAAGTCAGAGCCCCGCAGCCTCCCCACGTGTCTCCCAGAAAAGACATCGCATCTGTCATTGTTCTGGTCACTCCTCATAGTCGAGTTTTTCCTCTCTGGTTACCCAGAATGCCTTGCTGCATTTGCGTCTTTAGATGCGGGAGCGAAGGCTGTCACCAAGATGGGGCTGGGGGGAGGCAGCAGCACTTGCAAGTCTTCCTGTGATGGAATTTAGTCCCCGTGGCTCTGCGAGGAGCCTCCACGGGTGAAGAAAGCAAGACCTAGAGCTGCCAAGAAGCTCGTCCAGCTCACCCCTGGACAAGCAGGGCTGGGATTTGAACGGCAGGCCCATGGAAGCTGCGTCTGGCTTCTGTGCCGTGTTTGGTGGGGCGTCTCCCCGGGGAGGAGTGGCCAGGACCTGCACTGACTGACAGTTCCCCATTGTGGGGCAGGGTGGGGTTCTCTTGGCTTTTGGACTTCGCCCAGATTGCACTCAGGGAAGAGCAGTCCCAGCCAGTGGGGGGGGGTGGGGGTGGGGGTGACAGCCGTGCAAGGTGGCAGCAGAGTGATGAGGACGTACTTGCAGGGGCCTGGATCCTCAAAAGATCAGATCCTGTGGGCATTGCAGCCCCCCCTCCCCAAGTGGGCAGTACTTCTACCTGAAGCCACCAGGAGGGTGACCTGGAGGCACAATTGCAGAGACTCAGCAATGCCAGGCGGGGGGCTAGTGGCCGCCGCCCCCCTCTAGTGCAGACCCTCTGCAGCTCGACCCCTGCTGGGCAGGAGCTCATGTGTGCAGAAGGCCTGGGGAATGGGGGTGATGCAAGTGACCCTGGGACAGCAGCAAGCTGAGCAGCCACGTGGGTCCATTCCGCCTGGGAAACCGAATAATGGTCGGCTGTGGGCAAAGGGCCAGCAAGGCCTCTCCCTGTGTTCCTTTTCCCCACAGGGAGGTGAGCTCAGCCTTTTGTGTTGACCCCTAGCCCTCCTCCCAGCACGTGAGCTTGGAGTGCCAGCCACACCCTGTTCCTGACATCATGGGGTGACCGTCCCTTGCACTTGGGCCCTGTCTGCAGAGCAAGCCACGGGCCACCTTGACCACACAGCTGGCTCTGGGGGAACCCTGAACAAACCAGGGCTGTCATGCAGTGAGGGTCACAACTTGCAAAGCAGATACCATGAGCAACCGGGCAGAGAAGCAAGCGGAACTTCCTGTCATCTTCATAGTCGACAGCGAGTCCAGACCAGCTGACAGCCTTATATGGGCCTTCTCACCAGTCCGGGTCCTGGGAGCCTCAGCGGTCAGCAGTATCTGTAATCCCAGGCTGTAGACATGTTGGGAGCTCCTTTTTCTTGGTCCTAGGCCAGCTGCCCTTCTTAACTCCTTGATGGCCTTCCAGAATCAGGCACAGAGTGGGCCTCATCCAGCCAGCGTGAACGTCCCCCGGCCCTCCTCACGCCCGGGTGCACCAGCCATCAGTCAGCCGGTCCCGCGGTTCCGGCTTGCCCGGGGCAGTCCGTTTTCATTGCTCCGTGCCTCGATTTCGCCATCCTGAAACCCCGGGCAGCTGACACAGCGACACCTCCCCAAGGCCGAGGGCTGATGTGTTTGGCAATCGGAATGGCACCGTGGTGCTTATTCGTGAGGACAGCCATCCACGAAAGAGAGAGAGAGGAACCAAGAGAGGGCCATTGCGGGCAGAGTTGGGGTTCCTTTGGACCCCCGAGTGAGTTACCTGCAGGTGTCGTTCTGCACCCGGACAGGTGTGCAGGATGGACTTGGGCCGGTGACAGGAGGCTGCTGAGTCCTGTGGGGCTCAGAGCGCTCTGTTTCCTGTGTCAGGGACACCCCCAGCGTATGCTGCTGTCAGTGGTTTTTGTTTTTGTTTTTTTTGTTTGTTTGTTTTTTACTAGCCCTATAATGTCAGCCTGCAAAAGGCAGAGTAAACAGTCCTTAAGCGAATTAATACGGAAATGGTAGAGAAGGCTCTGTGACGAATCACTTTTTCCATGAGTCAGACAGAACACCAACGTCCCCTGCTTTTATACAGGGCAGCGCTCTGTCATGTGTCATTGCCAGCCCTTGCTAACAAGCTGGGGTGTAGGCCGGGAGTGGCCTTGCCCGAGGGGAGCACCCAAGGCCCACAGTGGTTCCCTGACCTCCTGGCAGGCCAGCCTGAGGCAGGGGTGGTCTTCTGTCTTCCCCCAACTGGAGGCGCTGGTGCACGGCCCGGGCGAGCCTCAACTTGGGAACCTCCCTCTGCGGGTCGCCGGGTTTGTGCACGGGATTGGGATTCACAGACAACATGTCTGTCCGTGCACTCCCACTCGACTGTTTCCCATGCTTGTTAATCTGATGATCTGACACCCCGCCTGTTTCTGCACCCTGGCTGTGGAACTCCAACCAGTGGCCTCCTCCTTCCATGTCTTGCCCCGCTGAGATGGGAGAAACCTGGGCCGTCCAGTGGCCTGCACCCCCTTGCAAGAGCCATCCCTTCTCCCCGGTGCCCTGTTCTTGGGCCGCACCGCCTCTCAGGGTCCAGCCCACAGTCCCACGGTGTCTGACGGCTGAGGAGGATGGGACTTGAGGACAAGCAGCGTTTGTCCCTCTGCCCAGTCTGGGCCGGGCATGCCCAGCAACAATGCCCACATTCATGCGGCATGGAGTCGGCCAGGCCCACGTGACGTGCTGTCACGGCAGATGTGGGGGAGAGGGAGAGGCACAAGCGCTCCCTGTGTGCATTTTGCCCTGCGCTGCCCAGGAGCCGCAGCTGCAGGCGGGCTGCACGCTCTGCCGCCTGCACGGCCTCGGCCCCTTGCGGGAGGGCACATGGGGGACGGTGAAGTCACTGCCACCTGCCCAGAGTGCTCATCACTGGGTCCCGGGGCAAGTGTCTGCTCTGGCTCTGGCTCTCTCCCGCTCTGGGTCTCATTTTCAGCTCCTCATCGGGAAAGTCTCTCTGATGCCAGGTAGAGGGCAGGAAGGAGAGCGGTGATTGTCGTTGTCACCCGGAGTTTGTGTGACGGAGATGCACAGCAGCTGGCGTTTGCTGTGCACGCATGCATTGCACCACTCGGGCTTCACAGGCGTTGGTCCCATCCCTGTGTGGTGGACAGGAAACAGGTGCACAGAGAGGTGACGTGGCCTGCCCAGCGTCACAGAGCTGGCCTTGAGACCCAGGCGTTCTGGGCTTCTGAGCCTGTGCTCTTGCCATGCAGGCCTCAACGATGAGACACTGAGACTTCTCTGCCGGCATCCCCTTGGGGCCTTTGGGGTGGGGACCCATGCAAAAGCGTAGTCCCCACAGACCCTGCAGGCCGGCCGTGACGTCTCAAGAGTGTAACCACAAGATGGGCCCCTGTAACCACAGGATGGGCCCCTCTGGCCTTCCCGTGGCATGCTGTAGAATGCGAGTGGCCAGGCTGTTCCGCATCCTGGAATCTGCCTGGCTTGGGGCTAGGTGGAAGTCATAGAACCCACTACCTTTACCCTCCCCTTGCCTATCAGCTGCTCAAATTGGAGACATAAATGGTGTCGCTCCCCTCCCCTTGGTACAGCTATGGGCTTCTTTTGAGATTTCCCTAGCAACCAAACTTTGTACTGGTAAGGAAATTGAGGCCCCAGAGAGGGACAGTGTCTTACCCAAGGCCACACAGCAGGTAGGAGCAGTGCCAGGACCAGAACAGAGGCCTTCGACCCTCAGATCCATGTCCTTTGCCAGCGTGTGCATGGAGGGTGGGCGTCTCAGTGTGCATAGCCCCTTCCTTCTGGTACCTCGCTCTGAGAGCCTTCTCCCCAGAGGCCAGGGGGAGGCTCAAAGAGGCAGGCAGTGCCAGCTTGCAGGGTCTCTTGGCCTGCTTGAGTGGAGTCATCTGGCTGGGAGCGCTGGACTGGACTGGTTTGTGGCTTGAGCAGGGTTCCCATGGGTATTCTTTGTCCTCACAGAACTTTCCAGAAAGACTGAGGCTTCTGTAGGAACATGGGCTTGATGAAGCAGGGTCCTGGAAGACAGACCAGTGGGAAGGAGACAGAGGCTGGGGTGGAGGGGAAGGGGTGGGGCGGTGGGGCGGCACAGGGGAAAGGAAGTGCAGGAGGGGTCTGGGCCTCCAAACCCGGGTCTCCCTGGTCACGTGCTTCTCCTCCTCCGTCTTCCCCAGGAGTCTACATTCTGATCGGAGCCGGGGCCCTCATGATGCTGGTGGGTTTCCTGGGCTGCTGTGGGGCCGTGCAGGAGTCCCAGTGCATGCTGGGATTGGTGAGTGCCCCCTCTGTGTTCCCCACAGCCTCTGACACACACACTCCCTGTCCCCTGCGCAGCCCCCTGGAGCAGCTGGGATGGGGTGCGGTGTAGAGGGGACCTGGCGGGCCTGGGCTGTCCTCAGCCTCCCCTGCGCTCCAGCCCCCTGGCCCAGGGCCCTGCCCCTTCCTTCCTAGACCTGTCGCTTCCCTGCCTGCAGGCAGCTCAGTGCCAGGACTTCATGCTCTCCTTTCTCGAAGAGCACGTTTGCTTTTTTTCCCTGAATCCACAGGTACTTCCTCCTTCTCTCCTGCTCCTCGTGTGGTCTGGGGCCATCCCCCCGCCCCCAGCGAGGGTGTTGACTTCCTCAGTGGGCCCAGTCTTGGGCTCTGCTCACTGCCTCTTGCCCAGTCCCCTGCACGCACCCACGTGGGCGCCTTCTGCTGCTCAGCTCTCACTCCTCACCCCAGCCTAACCCCGCCTGTCCAGCCAGCATCTTCCTGCCCCTTCCTTCTAGACTGTCCCTTGGTCCCCCAAGAGCTCTCGTCCCTCCTTGTCCTGATGCCCCTTGATGTCCTGCATGGGCGGCTGGGGCTATAGCTCACCCCGGTGCCTTCTTGCCTTCCAGTTCTTCAGCTTCCTCCTGGTGATATTTGCCATCGAAATCACTGCGGCCATCTGGGGCTATTCTCACAAAGACGAGGTAGGTTTTTCCTGGAAGGAGCCTTGGGTCCTGCCGTGGTCTGCATTTGTGAGTTGGGGGATGGGGGTGAGAGGGTTAAAGGAGGTTGTGGCTGGTCAGAACTGGAGCTGTGCCAGCCACAAAGCTGGAACATAGTAGGCACAGATGTTCTGCACTCTGGGGTGTGTCTATCTGTTTGTCTCACACCTTAATAGCCCTTTGCCCAACTCCTAGAAAGGTAGCCAAGGAGTCGTGGCTTTCAGTGGGCTCCCTACCCTTGCTTCTCCCTCGCCCCTCAAGGTTGTGTGTTCCTCCAGGTGCTGATGCCCCAGCTTTGGTTCCCACTTCCGGGAGCTTTGTCATCTAGCGCAGGAAAAGGCACACACTTGACAAGTGTCCTTGAAGTGACTCAAGTGTCCAGAAATACCAAAGGATTGAAAGGGGCAGGGAGGGGAGACAGGACTGGCTCCGTGCTTGAATATGAGCTAGGATTTCAGGAGACGGCTGTGGAAGCCCGTGGAGGGGTTGGAGCATGGCTGAGCATGGACTTCCTTGGGGAGCATTGGAGGCCAAAGAAGAAAGGCTGCAACCGCAGCAGTAGGAAGGGATGATTCCAGAAGATGTTGGGAAGATGCGGCATGTTGGTCTGTCACTGAGGCATGGCTGAGGGTCACGGGGACAGACGCGCATTAGATTGGGATGCACTGGGTATGAGAGGACAGTAATGTTTCCCCGGGTGATGTCATCGTCCTTGCTTCTTGCAGACTTTGAAGGTTTCCCAGGCAGGGTCTCCAAGGCCCCCTGTAACATATGTGGTTCAGGGACTGAAATTCTCCTGCCATGTGCATCCAGGAACACCCATGCAGAAAGATGTGAAAATCACACCTAACTGGTGAGGCAAAAGAAGAGGGAATTCAATTCTCTTATCTTGAGAGATTCAGTTTAGTCACCAGGCAGAAAGGCAGAGAGCCTAGTGGGGCTGATGGGACCCACCCAGGGTGCAAGAGAAAAGGGCTGGGACACGTCCCCAAAATATAAGAGAGGAGGTGGCAGGTGCCCCAGAGGCCCCAAGAGAGGCACCTGCTCGGTGGCATGGTCCGTGCATGGAGTTCACTGGCTCAGAACTTACTGAGCGTGAACACTGTGGGACAGGATGAGGATGTCTTGCCGCCCTTGTCTGCCCATCCCAGGTGATCAAGGAAGTCCAGGAGTTCTACAAGGACACCTACAACAAGCTGAAAAACAAAGATGAGCCACAGCGGGAGACGCTGAAAGCCATCCACTACGCGGTACGTCTCGTCCGCACAAAGGGCCCCCAGCACCTGCTGGCCACACTGCCCAGTGGACCTGCACACGGGGTCCCTGGGGCAGCGGATGGGCACGTGTGTTTAACTTCTGTCTCCTCCCCATCCCTGCACTCTCTCTGCAGCTGGACTGCTGCGGCATGGCTGGCGGTGTGGAGCAGTTTATCTCGGACATCTGCCCCAAGAAGGACATCTTGGAGAGCATCCAGGTTAAGGTAGACTGGAGAGCAGCCCCCAGCACCCCTGCCCTGGGCAGACCCCTCAAGGGGAGGAGTGAGATTGGCCATCTCGTTCTGGGAGGTTGGGTACCAGCCCCTCGTAAATGTCCCTTGCACCTGTGTGAGCAACCCAGGGTGACCTGCTCATTTCTGCCTTGCCCTGGGCCCGCCTGGCTCCTCCATGGCAGTGAAACACGAGGCAGACCAGGAGACGACAAGCCAGAATGGCCCACTGATACCCCAGGCTCGAGCTTGGAAGACCAGGCATAGCTCTGAGCCCTCCACTCCTGCTTTTTATTTGTTAATGTTTTTAAATTTGTATTCATTTGAAACACACACACAGAGCTCCTGCTCTCTGCTGGTTCACTCGCAAATGCCCACGATGGCCAGGGATGAAGCCAGAAATTCAGTCCAGGTCTCCCATGTGGGTGGCAAGGACCCAGTTACTTGAGCCATCCCTGTTGCCTCCCCGGGTCTGCATTTGCAAGATGCTGGAGTCAGGAGCCAGAGCCAAGTGTCAAACCCAGGCACTCCCCCGAGAGATGCAGGCATCTTGACCACTTGGCCAAATGCCTGCCCCAGCTGCTCTTTAGACTCCATAAATACTCCTGATTGTGAGTTAATGCACATATTCCGGAAGACTGAAAACGTACCCTGCAAGCGTATTAGAAATAGACCCCCGAGTGAGGCCCACCCCTCTCTGCACCGGGATGGCTTGCCCAGGTTTCAGGAGCCCACCTCCCACATCCTGTCAGTCCCCCTTCCCGCCCAACCAGCCAAAGATCTGTCCCTGAATGTCCCGGAGTAAGACAGGTGCTGTGGGCAGGAGGCGGTGCCCTTGGAGTGGGGACAGTCTGTGATCTGGGTCTCCTTTCCTCCCTAAGTCCTGTCCTGAGGCCATCAAAGAGGTCTTCGACAACAAATTCCACGTCATCGGCGCTGTGGGCATTGGCATTGCCGTGGTGATGGTGAGTGGCGGGCCTGGGGCGGGGCTGCTGGTCCCTCTTGGTCTTGGTCCTGGTCCTGTTCATTAAGCATATGCTCTGGCCTGGCATTGTTTTCGGAGCTGTACGTTTGTCAATGCATTTAACTCTTGCCATGCCTGCTGAGTAGGGACCACTAGTGTCTCTACTGTATGGCTAGGAACTGGAGAGAGAGGACGGAAAGGTCATTCAGAGCCTCCCAGCCTCCCAGCTCAGCAGTGACGCATTCCAGGTTTGAACTCTCCAGAATATCCACTCTCTTCTCCATTAGGGCTCTAGGGCTCTTTTTTTTTTTTTATTTCTTTAGAGAAAAAACACTCCCATCCACTGGTTCATTCCCCAGTGCCTACAAAGACCAGCACTTGACCAGGCCAAAGCCAGGAAGCAGGAACTTAATCCAGCTCTCCCACTCAGATGGCAGGGATGGATCTACTTAAGCACTGTCAGGAATCTGAAATCAGGGGTGTAGCCAAGACCAATGTGGGACACGAGCATGGGCATCTTACCTGTGGAACCAGGCCTGCGTTCTCAGCCCCTAGGAAGCCTCCAGGGCCAACCAGTTCCTTGGGGTCCCCTGGTCCCTCCCTGTGAGGGATAACAAGAGCCCAGTGGGGGACCCACGTGTCCCCAGGGTGGCCTGGCTAACTGACGCCCGGGGGCCCTTTCCCTTGGTCTTCCTCTGGGCCACTCAGAAGAGAGCGAGGCTTCCTTTCCTCTTTTCCCCCCTTGAATGCACCCCTCATCTGCATCTAGGCCAGGCTTGAAGCAGCTCTCAGTGAAGAACCTAACAGTCCTTTTAAAATAGAATATTAAACACAGACACACACACACAAAGAAGCCAAAGTACTAGCCTGTGTGGCCTATTACAGTACCTGGAATCTGAGCATTAAATTTAGCTCTGGGTTTGTTTATCCTGCTGTGAGCCTTCTCCAGGGAAGGTGCTTATGGGTTACTGACTGGCTGTAGACTCTTGGACTCCCACACAGTTGGCAGTCCTCACGTTGTCCCGCCTGCCTCTCGCCTGCATCAGTGCCTTGGGCTCAGGGGCTCAGAGCCACTGCCTGTCTGCCCTGTCTTCCAGATATTCGGCATGATCTTCAGTATGATCCTGTGTTGTGCCATCCGCAGGAGCCGGGAGATGGTCTAGAGTCAGCGTGTACCCCTGAGCAGGAAGGTGTACCCCTCAACATTGGGTTGGGTTTGGTTTTTGTTCGTGGGTTTTTGGTCTCCGCCACTAACTTTAGTATCCATTCTGCATTTCTAAACAAAATGAGTTATCCCATGTTTGTCTTCTTAATGCTTTATTCAACATTGATATTTGTGGTAGAGGGATTTGGGGATTTGTTTGCTTCAGTTCATATTTTTGGGGGTTGTTTGTTTTTGCTTGTTGTATTAAGCAGAAATCCTGCAATGAAAGGTACTATATTTGCTAGACTCTAGACAAAAGATACTGTATATAAAGAGAATTTTTTTTGTCTTTAAATAGATAAAAAAAGTTTATCACATTTAATCAAGTTGTAACTTATATTGAAGACAATTTGATACATAATAAAAGATTACGACAATATCCTGGACTGGTTTCTGGTTTTTGCTGGCTTTGGCTTCCTTTGTATAGCTGTTTAGTATTTAAATGTCTTTCAACTGCTATTGACTCTGACATTTTAGGAAAAGAGGGCTGGAAGGCTGTTCTCCCTATTTCACTAATGAAGAAGGACAGATTTTGATCTGGAGTCACATGGTTGTTGGGAGAAGAGTCAGTGCTAGAACCAAGTCCCTAGTCCCCATCATTCTGCTGGATCTTGTATCTCTTTCTTAAAAAAAAAAAAAATTATTTTATTTATTTGGAAGCGCACCAGAGAGGGAGAGACAGAGAGATCTTCTATTCTCTGTTTTACTCCTCTAATGACTGCAATGTACAGGGCTGGGCAGAAACCAGGAGCCTAGAACTCCATCCAGGTCTCCCATATAGGTGGCAGGGACTCAAGGCCTTGGGCCATCTTCTGCTTTCCCAGGCACATCAGCAGAAAGCTGGGTCTGAAGTGGACAGCCAGGATTTGAACCAGCACTCATGGGAAGCCCGCATCCGTTTAACCTGCAGCACCATAGCGCTGGCTCCCCTAGTTGTTGCATCCTGAGAACAAGAGGTGCATGCGAGTCTCACGATGCCTGGGGGTTTCATCCCTACTGTATGCCCAGCACCTGGGCCCAAGTGTTTGGTGGACAGCAGATGCTCAGTATTTTTCCATCCATCCATATGTGTTCATTGAATGAATACACAAATGTGTGCCCATCAGGGTTTATTTAGAGAAGCAGAATTACTAAGAGATACTTGTATGAAGCTGTTTGCTCCAGGGATTCCACTTTAGACAGTCGCTGGAGGCGGTGAAACAGTGTCTATAAGGTTGTTACCTCTGTGGAGCCAGGCAGGGCAAGTGGGTGTGAAGTGGAGGCGTGCAGGAGCCAGCTGGAACCCCAGCACAAGCAGGCAGCCCTGAAAACAAATCCATGGCTGATGTCGTGTTCTGGTGTTGAGGGCATGGATCCGACGGAGACCAGTGCCCTCTGCAGCGATGCTGGATGCCCCCTGGCCTGGGAGTTGGAGAAGCTGCCGTGGGTCAGCAGAGAAGCAACTATTTGTGTGAGCTGCAGAAAGCCTGCTGCTTCATCTCCCTCCTCCACACCTCAAATGTGGGTCTTTATGCCCCACCCTAGCGGAGGGACTTCTGGGAAGCAAGGTTCAGCTTCACCGGTCTGCAGATCACAAAGCCACCAAGGTGCAGGAGACACAGTGCCTGCCCACACCGTCCACAATCGGCGGGCAGGGCAGAGGGCTAAGCCAGCAGTTAGAGTGCGCTGAGATAAACACAATGAGGCAGAAGTACACAGGCACAGGAAATATTTTTAATTCCCTCTCCTTGATTCAATTTGGGTTCTTAACACTGAAAAAGAAAAAGAATCAAAATGTCCTTGAATCCCAATGCATTTAAAAATCAGAACACTCGTGTTCATAGCACCATTATTCACAATAGTCAAAAAGTGGACACAGCCCAGGTGCCCGTCAGCAGCTAAATACAATGGAATATTGTTCTGTATTCCGTGACATGCAATGCCAACGGATGCTGCGTACATGAACAAGACGCTGCGGAGGGAAGTGAGCCAGACAAAAGAACAAGTAGTTTCTAATTCGGGTCATGTGATATGAGAAGAGGTAACTAGGACAGGCAGAAAGCAGATTAGAGACACCCAGAGACCTGAGTGGTGCGGATATACTTAATGCAGCTGCCTGTGCATTTAAGGATAACTTATGAAGGACCTCTGTGCATGTGATCCCAGTGGAAAGAAGTGGTCATCGAAGGAGGAGGTACTTTTCTCTGAAGGGAGGAGAGAGCTTCCACTTTGCATATGACTTTGTATAGATACTGACAGAGTTTGTAGATTCAAAAGGCTTCCATAGCCTTGGCAGCTCATGTCAAGAGCTTTGGGTGAACACTGACATCATACATAAGAGTGTTAATTGTTTAATTAACAATGGGAGTCACTGTGCACTAACTCCCCATGCAAGACTTCTGTCCTCAATGAGGTGTATCATGACAGTTGATAGTAAAACATGTTCTCAAAGATTTACTTCATTTTAGTGTATTAAGTGGAGGATATCCTTATGTCTCATAAGTTTTAGATAAGTCTAAGTGCCCAACTCCCTTACCTGTTTGCTTAGGTACTTCTTCGATTAATGATAAAACTGGTTCTCAAAGAGAAAAAAAAATTATCGCAAAAATTAAAAGAAAAATAAGAAAGGAAGCAGGGTGGAGGGAGGGAGAGAGACAGGATGGGGTGGGAAGTGCCATTATGTACTTAAAACTGTATGTATGAGATACATGAAATTTGTCCCATTCGTATAAATAAAAATGTAAATTAAAGGGTGACTTGCAGGCTAAGCATGTTCTGCCGTCCGCAAAGGCTGGATCAGCTCGTCCTCTGTGGCCCTGGTCCTTACTCATGAGAGCAGGGGAGGCTCCTTCCCCTCTCGGAGCTCGGGAGACTGCAGGTCAGCCCTGGGTTTGTGTGGGAGTGCAGTGGCGGTGTCACCCCCGGCTGGTTCTCACGGCCCTGCTGGTGACCCCAGCTCTTCCCAGGGAAAGCGGGGCGGTGCACACATGCGCCACTCTCTGCTGAATGATGGAGTTGGTTGCTACTGAAAGCCAAAATCCCAGAGTGCCCAGCGTTTTTCTGTCCTGCTTGTGGATATTGGACAGAAGAGCCAGCTTAGGCAAAAGCAAGCGATGGGTAAGAACCCAGGTGGTGTTTGTGGCAATCAGGAATGGAAACATGGCCGAGCCTTCGGAAGATTCTAGAACCATGGACTAGGAACTCCCACAGCCCCATTTCAGTGTGCTCGCTGTTACCCTCCTCAGAGAACAACTTTACTAGCCAGTCTGTCTGCGTGGGCTGGAGAAGGGCTGGCCCCCAACTCTCACACTCACAGCAAGAGAGATGGCCAGCATGAGCCCACGTGAAGTCAGGACAGAAAGCCTGGCCCGTTTCAGTCACGTACGTACAGGGGTCCACTCAGATGGCTGGGGTGGGGGAGGAGCCACCCTCTGTGCCCTGTAGCCTGCACCCACCACCACAGAAGAGCCTGTTGAGAGCTGACCCATGCTCCTGCCACGGGACCACACCCAGCTCCCCCACCCCTTGGTGGACAGGTACAGCCAGGTACAGCTCCGTGGGTAACCAGAAAACTGCGAGGGCCTGCAGCTCTCGGCCCTGAAGAGCCAGGTCCCAGAAGAGGCAGCGCTGGCAAGCTGGGTCCAGAAAGAAGCTCCTTGCAGCTGGCTGGGTGTGACTGCCTCTGGGCTCAGATGTGGCGAGCAGCCCTGGGCCACCAAAGTGAATACAAAGGACCAGACACTAAGAGGTTGTTGCTTCACCCAGTGCCCCACAGGGACTGCAGGTGCTTTCAAACCGAACAACACACTGGACTCCCCTTGCAAAAGGTTCAGCCCTCCAGTCATGGCTTTAGATGGAGTTGGGGGGCTCAGGCGTGGAACCAAGACTCCACGTGTCTCCCAGGGCTCATCCCACAAGCTCTCTCCCCTAGGCTGCCCCTTGGGTGAATTGTGTGTCCCTGCCCAGCTTCTCAAGCTCGAGGTGGAGAAGTACCCCTATCAGCTCTAGGAGCTTATAGAAACAGGTCTCAGGCAAGCGTTTGGTGCAGTGTTAAAGACACTGCTGGGACACGCCTGTATCCCACATCCGATGCCTGGGTTTGAGTCTTGGCTTCTGCTTCTGGTCCCGTGTCCTGCTAACGTGCACCTAAGAGGCAGCAGGTGATAGCTTGAGTACTTGCATCTGCCACCCAGGGGGAAGACCCAGAATGAGTTCCTTGCTCCTGGCTGTGGCTTGGCCCAATCCTGGCTGTTTCGGACATTTGGGGAGTGAACCAGGGGATGGAAGTCTCTCTCTCTCTCTCTCTCTCTCTCTCTCTCTCTCTCTCTGTCTCCCTGCCTTTCAAATAAAAATGCAAATAAGTAAAATCTTCTAAAGTACGTATCCCAGGCATACGCTCAGGAAAGGAGCTCTCTGCCTCTCTGTTGTTTGGTTAAGGGCCAGGGGCTGAGTCAGGAAGGGCCTCAGTAAAGGCTAAATTTTAAGAACAGAGGACATTTCTATGGGCAGCCCAGAAATATTTCAAAATCGTGTTTCATCACTGAAATAGTGGCACTTCTTTTTGATTTGGTACCCTTGTTGGTCCCTTTAAGACACAAAGAAGGCCAGCACCGCGGCTCACTAGGCTAATCCTCCGCCTTGCGGTGCCGGCACACCAGGTTCTAGTCCCGGTCGGGGTGCCGGATTCTGTCCCGGTTGCCCCTCTTCCAGGCCAGCTCTCTGCTGTGGCCCGGGAGTGCAGTGGAGGATGGCCCAAGTCCTTGGGCCCTGCACCGCATGGGAGACCAGGAGAAGCACCTGGCTCCTGCCATCGGATCAGCGCAGTGTGCTGGCCGCAGCGCGCCAGCCGCGGCAGCCATTGGAGGGTGAACCAACGGCAAAAGGAAGACCTTTCTCTCTGTCTCTCTCTCTCACTGCCCACTCTGCCTGTCAAAAAAATTAAAAAAATAAAATAAAAAAGACACAAAGAAAGCTGCACCCAAATCCTTCAATAATGGGGTTCGCCAGGAGGCGACTCAGCGTCTCGGCAGCCACACACCCACTTCTGGGCGTCTGCACTTCCTCTGCTGGCTTCTGCACCCGGAAGGCATGCAGCAGCTCTATCTGCAGCGCCGCCCTAGCGTTTCTGCCGCTGTCCGCGTCTCCCAATGCAGCTCCCTTAGCAGAAAGGAGCCAAAATGGTAGTTTGGTGCCATTCAATCAGAGGCATCCCCACGGGCGTCCCTGGCTCAGTGGTTCGTGGCCAGGACAGCAGTGTCGATGTCCAGCGTGCTCCCTGGTCTGCTGTGCAGAAAGCACATCCGGGGGCGGGGGAGGGGGCACGTGCCGGGCTACAGCTGATTGGCTCGAGGACCTCAGGGGACCCAAGAGGAGCCCACAGCATGGTTTCTACATTCCAGG